ATTTCAGTGCATTGTATTTATACAAGCTAGGTAAATCATACTTCAATGCTTGTATCGTTGGACTAATCTTGAAGACCTTGGAGATATTAAAAGCTTAACTGGTCAAGGCTCCGAACGACCTGCCCTAGGCTGAGTCTGTCTTGATCCTCTGGCTGGACAGACAACATCCAGAGATCCCTTCCCATCTGTATTCTCTAAATTTTAAAGTTGGACCACGTTAACATAGACACAGTGTTAACAAAGCTTTCAAGGCCCAAACCTTCACTCGAGTTGTACTGAAAAACAGAAGTCCATGCCCTTACGTAGAAACATGAATGCCTGTAAAAACATTATCATCTAGAGTCCAATTACAGTAGTTTCAACAATCTTTGTTCCCATAAAACAAAGCCTGACAATACTATCAGCCATCTCATATTTTCCGATTTGACTATTTCTTAATACTTAAATGCTACAGGCTTATTTTAGTAATGCTCCCGTTCCAGCAGAAAGCTGGAAAACAGGGCACTTCTGCCTGGCTCGTTCAAACCCAAGATGACTCTTTGCAGCTCAAGATGGCTGGAAGGTGAGAGACCCCCGTTATATCTTGTAGGTTACAAGCCCAGCTGGAAGAGCCCATGCCGCACAAATCTTCAGCCGCTGCCAGACATGCATGGGGGCTTGCATGGGGGTGCCAGCTCCCAGGGTCAATGTCCTGTTGGACCCTGAGAAATGTCTGCTCAATGTTACCAGTTTTACATCCTGCTCCAGTAATCCCAGTTCCTCCTGTTTGTTAAGGAAACTCCTCGCAGTAAGGTTAAGGCATAGGGCAATGTACAGAGACCTTAATTATCTCTTATCTCGCCCAAATTCCTTGCTGAACTAGATAAACCAGCCATGTGCCTACCTAAGAACTGAGCTCACCAACAGCAACGCATTCCTCTCTGCTTTACGTCCTCCTCTCCAGGCTGACGCAGCTGGCGTTCCTCTTCCTCTACTGAGAACGCATGACGTTGACTTCAAATTCTCCAAAATCTATTGCCTAATCTTAAAATGTGTCGGATGCGGAAGCCCTGATTTCAGAAGTCTTGCACGCTCCACCTCAGAGTATGTTTATGGTAAAGGCTGTTCTTCCCATCCCTGCTGCAAAATGCTTTTAACAGCCTCGGAGAAAAACACCCCGCTCTTAGACCAGCCTCTCTAAGCATCTCAGATTGTAGAAATTTGATTGTTTTTGACAACAGCATAGAACATATACATTTTACAACCAGCTGGGTGACTTACAGGAGAAGACACACACTTCCAGGCTAGCAGCACCAGGCACCCTAGATCAGTCCCGGTGAACTGTGCTTGAAGGAGGATTTTGCTCCAGTTCCTGGGACTGCCTGCCCTCCAGAGAAATGGGGCTCACCGGTAAGCACCCAGCACAGCCCCGACCTTCTTTTAAACTCTCCCACAGTTACGAAGACGACTGGGACACAAACCCCAGATCTGCTATCTGGGAAACCTGAGCTCATTACGTCTCCCCGCCTCGTCTAGCCGGTCTCACCTAAGGCCCACTCAAATTCTTCTCTCGGGTGGCAAGCTGGTAACAGCGCGTCAGCATCCGCACGGGCATTTCCTCTGCTAGGTGGAGTAACGTAACTGCGCGCCGCACTCGGATGAGAAAATTCACCTACCTTGGTGGTGACGCCGGCGGAGTATAAAATGCAAGTGCTGAGGGAAAAGGCTGCTTTTTCAGTGCTTGGACAAGATTAGGTTTATATTCTGGGTCAACGCACCATAACGAACCTTTTCCATTCACCTGGAAGAAAGAAGTACTGCAAATTAGAAAATCCAGGGACCAGGGTGTTACAGTCATTTCTAATTTAATATTCCCATGACGCAGCAAAAGGCAATGACGTAGGCATCCACCGCTGTACAGCTGATGTACATCACCTGCATGAAAAGCAGAGGCTTCTAAACCAAATGTGCGGTCCCGAGACCCACGTTATACGGTATGGAAACATCTGTCTTGTAGTTTGGGATAGCATCTCCAAAGCCCCATTTCCATTCACGTTCGTCCACTGAAAGTTTTAAACCTTATTTAAACACTTGGTAAATACAGCTGTGAGTTTAAGGATCTGTCCAGGCATCAGTGAACTGATCAGCAGTCTTTTGATTAACAGGTTTCTAAGTGAGAAACCAAAGCACCTTTCCCTTCGCTTAGATACGGCCACATACTAATTTAACTTTACACCACCCTGACGACACCAACCCTACAACATCCGGCAACTTGCCCGATGCCCAGCTACAAAACAGATTATTCCCACTTTTTCAAAATCTGAAAATGTAATTAATGTATTTTTGGTGCACCTAACAATGTAAGCACTACTGTGCTAGTCATTCTTGATATTAAATTTGATATGCCGAAAGTTAAGCAAAGCAAAGCACCTCCCGCTCCTCTCATACAGTAAATATGTGAAGAAACCCATAAAGAAAAACATCTGTTTTTTGAGCCTGCTAGTTCTTGCAACATAAAGAGGAAAATTAAATAGGAAAATTTAAAACAATTCTATAATCAATGACCTGATAGATCAGCTAACAGCTCTACAGGTAGCAGCACCAGTTTTTTTGGGGGGAAACCAGATGTTACAGGGGTGGTCATTCACATGGCAGAAGGATGGGGCAGCTCTACACCTGAACGGGAGGATCCTTCTATAGGATTTTTGGGGAAAAAGTCTCAGAGCAAAAACCCAAGCTCCGTGGAGCACCTGCTGCGAGCCCACAGAGGGCAGCTGGCCTCCTGCTGCTGGTATCAAGGGGGTATTAATGCCGTTTTATGGATGGGATACGCCATGACTTATTTAAGGCTGAAAAGGACCCACAAAGCACGTAAGTCTGTGGTCCTATTTAAGTCACAGGACTTTTCCTGAAAAGAGGAAATATTTTGCTATCGATAGTGAAAAATCAAACTGGGGAGAGCTCCAGCTGAGAAACAGAGAGATGTTGCTCCATAGTTTTAGTTGAAGTCACTGCCTTTCATAAAGATCTCTGAGCTGCAGCATCTCCGAGTTCTTTATTTTTTTAACCTGAATCTTTCTTATACTCATCTTTTCATGCTAAACTTGAGCACAGCCTGTAAGATACCTATCAAGAAGCTTACCTATAATTAAACAGCCGATTCCTTCACCGTGGTGACTGGCAGGATGATTTAGCCAGCTAGGTACTAATGGGGGGTATCCTCCCAACTGGCTCCATCCGTCATCTCAATGATAGCCTAATGCCCTGATCCCTTCCCTACCCCCCTCTGGAGCTGGACCCGTTCCCTGGCCAGCCAGCCAGCTCATTACTTTTCCCCTGTCAAAGACCCTGCCTAACTCTGGCTTCCCCCCCTGCTTCAGTGGTTTTGAGGCTCTCGCCCTCAGGGAGCAGCGGGAACTCCCCTGACCAGCACACCACTGCTCTACACTATTTTATCTGCTACTTTAGGTGAGCACTTCTACTTGATGCCTAATTCAGTTCAGCTGTGGACTGCAGCCAGAATGGGCTTAGTTTCCCTCTTTCATCTTCCCAGCCACTTATTCCCACCAGCTTGCTGCCCTGACAATATAATACGGTGATTTTGGGTGGGTATTGCAACAGGGAGCTGAACCTGGGCACACCCTGAAGCCATACAGACACTCAATCCAATGCAAGAGGCAATAAACAGGGTGACTCCTTCTTTGGGTAGTAAGATTGGGTTAGGTGTAAAGCGAAACCATGCTTCCACCCACCATTATTTGTACTAAAAGCAGACACTGAGCAAAAGAGATGGTGCCCATGGGCTGCTCGTGTGCGCCACTGCACTCATGTCTGCTGCTTAGCAGGCATGCAGTGGAAAGCCAACACAGGTCTAAAGTTAGTGCCATGCTTTAGGGGAAAGCCGTGCACAGCTGGAGCTGAAAACCCCATAAAACACAGATACATCCAGCTTTAAAACAAACCAGTGGTCTAACCACAGCAACAAAAAAAGGCTGTGCCGTTTCTCCTAGCAAAGACAAAGCCTGGGCAACCCAAAATGCTAAACCGCCTTTGGAGGTTACTATTTCACGTCAACAGTGGGGCAACTGTTGATGTGCTAGCTGAAATGTAGATGTAACTTTAATTTACCATCTACCGAAACATCCCTCCAGAGTCAGCGCAGAGCAGCCACCAGGCTGTTTTGACTCTCCATCTCAAAATGAGCGCGCAGTTAAATTGTTCTAAGGTTATTTTTGGTCGACTATCATCTCTTCTGCATCTTTCCAACATTTCTTATTTCACTTGCAGGATTTTATCTAGCCAAATAAAGAAAATTGGGAAGGAAAGTAATTCCTGCATTTTGAAGCATTGGACTATTTCATAACAACAGTAAGTTCCTAGTCCCCAGCATTTTGGGGCGTGATTATAGCAACGTGGGTTGGAAACAAGATGCCCCCCATGGTGCAGCTTCATCCTTTACTACCACCCCGCCACGGTCCCTCATCTGCTAGCACTGAAGTATGACCATGGAATATGACCAGACCAGCGAGGAAAGCCCAAGGAGCAACCGAAGCGGAGCAACTCAGCCGGCATCGGTGGCTTGGGCTCGCTGCACAGGCAGACACCCATCCCCACGCTGCAGAAAGCCCTCCATAAGCTTCAGCCCTGGGCAGCAGCCCCGGCTCCATCGGGTTCGGGCAGTTCTCACCAGCTGCTTCCACTTGAGCTAGGTGAACCACTGGAAAATACTATGCGTGTGCATGGAGGTATATCGTATATTCACCAAGAGGTTTATCAGAGAACAGACAGCTCTCTCCTATCTCTGCAGGCTTATAGATGTGACCTGCTTTTTGCCCGAATATTTGAATAGCCACACAGATTGTTTACCACCATCTCTTGTCAAGAAAATAAAAAAAGACAAACCCTAAAAGAAGGAAAAAAAACCCTAAAACACACATCTACCAAGAAGAAGAAAGGGAGATCTGTTGGAAGATATTCAAGCCCTGTCCCCCCCCGACCTCAAGAGGAGGAAGCGGCAGAGCTACATCCATGTGAGCAGTGGAATACCAAATTGATGCTTGACGCAGACGCCACTCCTGCCTCCTCACACCTTTTCTCCCCAGTGGTATCGATTAATAAAAAATCCCCAAACCCACAATTGTAAAAAGAAGTCTAGCAAAGAGCAGGGAGACTCTTCAGGGCTTCCAACTCCAAACCGCTTTTCACTTCAGGTCCTCCCGTGCTGTATATCACACACTGCTCCCTCAAATAAAGCAATACCCCACTGTAGACCTCACTCCCCCCAACCCCAAGGCTGTGTGACGGTACTTAAGATGCAAAGAGCATTAGCAATATCTTCTAAGGATCGCTAGCCCATAATCACAGCTCCGCATCTTCAGGGGCACCAGGGCCACAGCAGGTATGCTGGAAGGCAAGCAGGTGTCCCAGGGACCGGCTCCAGCACTGTCCCCTTGCTTTCCATCAGCTCCAGCTCCCAACCACCATTACCAGAGAACCACTGAAACCTCGTCTGTCTGGATGACTGCGGACATGAGCTCAACTGCAGCTCTAATAAGAAAGGGTATTTCAGCTCGCAAGTCTATCACCTGGGGTAAACCTTAACAAACCACTTAGATACAGCAGCATCACAGTATGTGCGTACAGAAAGGCTCATGTATATTTTAGCAGAGATTTGACGTACATACATCCTGTTTCCATGGCATGAGAAGTTCCTCCTCTCGACTGCAGTGCTGGCTCATAAGACATCTCAAAGCAGTTACTTTCCCTTCAGTGCCCTTCAACTCATTAAAAGAAAGCCATAACCTACAGTATTTTTCAGCGATCCAAGCAAGGACAGCCTTCCCTCAACCTCTGCTGAATGCCATCCTAGACTCCCGAACACCCGCAGCCTGCTGCGACAGGCAGGGTGAAGGTATTTAGCTGGCTGATACGAACACACGTGCAAACAGAACGACCATCCACGGCTACGTCTGCAGCACGGCGTGGTGCAGCTCGGTGGAAATAGCTCTGCAGAGCAAGAGAGTTGGTGCTGGGGGATCACCTGCACGTGCCTTGGAGGTTTTTTCACTCCAGATCTGCTACAGCAGGGTCTTGTGGACAACGTCTGGGAGCAGTCAGGGCACAGCAAGCACGCTCCTGCAGCACCTCTTCCAGGTTAGCACCAGCCAAAATGAATCCCGTTCATGTGTCCCGAAACTGCCCTGCAGTACCAGCTCACATGGGTAAAGTGGGGGAAAAATCAGGAGATTCACTTCGAAACATGAAATCCAAACCAAAGTATCAGCATTATGGCAAACATGAGGAAGGACTACCTTTGCTGCCAGACCTCCAAGAGATGATTTTGTAGCTGATGGCCAGCTGCAATAGCCAAGGAGGGTGTCAGAAAGCAGCCTGCCCCGGGATGCGGGGGCACAGACCCTCCCCTCCTGTCAGACATTTACACTCTTCCAATACAAGAGCCCAGATTCATTTGAAAAGCTTTAAAACCCTTCTTACCCTGATATTACAGAATAAACATGCTCCTCTCATGCAACATGCCATAGGCATCTCTGCTACCACGGGCACTCAGGGTAGAAGAAAGCTGACTACATGCTCCTTTCGAGACACAATTAAGATGCCATTAACAAAGAAAAAAATGGAAGGAAACACAAAATTATCTCGCCCTCTCAGAGAAGCACCCAGAGGCATTGCTAGTGCATGGTTACAGGCAACACAATCAGCAAGACAAGGTTGCAAGCTACGGCCACTCCCTGCAAGAAGTGACACCTGAGGTGCGCATCCAAAGGGGTCTGCAGCATTCCTGTCATCCCCCGTGGAGTCTGTACGTGCCACAGACTTATTTTGCAGGAAGAATTTGGAGCAGTACCCTCATCTGGTCCTTTTCTAAGCAAGGCAGAGGGTAAAGATTTAACTACTGTGTGTTGGAAATGGGGAAGCTTCGGCAAAGTTCCAGGAGGGTCTTTTTTGGTTTTTTGTTTTTTTTTTTTTGGTAAATGCAGTTTCTGTTCTTAAGAATTAGAGAGTTGTGCAGTCTCTAGAGCCTTGGGAAAACGCTGACAGAGCACATGAGCATCACCTTACGGGTAGTGGTGGTACCTACTCTACGTTTTGTTTTTCCTACTAGAGGTGTCACATCTAGCAGCAAGCCATCCTTTGGCTTTCCTTCAGCCACTCTGAGCCCAGCAATACTGGTGGAGTCGGCAGGGTAAGCAGAGGACCGGGCAGCCTCAAGCTCCTGCCGCCCACATGCTGAGACACGAGGTTTGACTGGTAACTCCTAAATGGCAAGGGTTTCCAGGCTGGAAATGGGTGAGCTTTAAAGGGCAGATCCACACACAGCAGGAACTTGTACACCGATTTAGAAAATTTGCATTTCCTGCCCCAGTTCTTCTGAAACTCACGTCTCCCTTCCCAGACAGAACCACCCAGTCCTTTAAGGGCACTTTTGCCACCTGGGGCAGCGTGCAGTCACTGCTCAGGTCCACATCCTTCACACAGGCACAGCTTGCAGCAAAATGTCATTTTTTTCAGGGCAAAGCTGCTGCTTGGGAAAACAACACCCGAACAATGTAACATAAAAGCAGTGATATTGGGAAGCGGTGACGTTCAGCCCTCAAGTACGAGACAGTCATACCCCAGGCCCGCTGAGCTCCAGGCTGTACAGCCAGGACCTCTATCTTGACAGCAAGAGGCTGTCAAGCACGCCAGGCATTACATGCATGTCTGATAACAAGCCTGTTACCACTTCAGCTGATGTCCAAGCACATGGGCCCAGGATTTGTTTGTTGACTTTTGGTATGTGGTTTGTTGGTTTATTTAAGTCAGAGCCGGCTCTTTGAGGAATGGGATGGGAAATAAAAGAGGGAGGAAGGAAGTCGCTGGTAAAATCATACAAGTCAGAAGAAAGAATTTGTACAGAAAAGAGTATCCTTGACTTTAAGAAGTGAAGCTTGTTTCTGCATCACGCAGAGACACACACTGTTATGTTATGACAGAGGTTAAAGCAATACAATATATTAAATGCAGGAATTAAGATGGTTATTGGAAAGCTAGAGCTGTGCTAAGTATAAAAGAAGATCACAAGTGAAAGAGTCAGTTTAATAATCAAGACAGCTATTAGAGTGAGAAACACTCAGCCACGTACATACAGCGTGCCTGCAAGCAAGGGCGCCTTGCAGAAGACCACATCTGCACCCAAATGGTCAACACCCATGCTAGCCAAGCGGGGAAGCTGCTTGGCATCCCGTGATCTCTTCTGCTTCCCGGTGCGATTGTAGCCGTGGCCATGCTGGAAAAGCAGGGAAGGAGGAATACACCCCAAAATTTCAGCATGGGAAAATAGAGAGAGCACCAGTTTAAGAAGCTTCAGCAAAAAGGCATCCTAAGCCAGATGCCTAAAGTTTCAGGCTGGGTATTGCAGGCTAACAAAACTGTAAGTAAGTGGAAACAGTGTCCTTTGCAAAGCATGTCAGCCAGCTTTAAAAAGGAAGCAGCACAGCTAGCTCTACCCAGGTCAGTACTAAAGAAAACCAAGAGACTTTTGTCATGCTGTGATTTGTCAGAAGTGGCATTTCCAAACCATCTCCAGCTGCAAATAAAGTGTTAGAGGACATGGAGGGTAAAAATAAAACCCAAAAGTCCTTGAGAACAACAGAGTCTTCTCCATGTCCCTCTGAATGTCAAACTTGATCCACCTCCCTCCCGCCAGGTCTCACCTTGCCATGGCTTCTCTCCACCTTTCGGAAACACTTGTTCAAGGAGAGGTTGTGTCGAACTGAGTTCTTCCAGCCAGTGGGTGCCGTGGCAAAGTAGGGGAAGCGCTCCAGGATCCAGCTGTAGATTTCTTTGACTGGCAAGCTCTTGTTGGGGGAATGCTCGATCGCCATGTAAATGAGAAGGCTGAAAGAGTAAGGGGGTTTGGAAGTGGAGGATTTCTTTTCGGGGTTCTGGTAGCAGGATGGCGAGAAGGATGGCACGCTGTCGCCCTCAATGTCATATAAGGGGCTAACGATGGGAAGACCCTCACTTCCAAGGCTGAAGTTTGTTAGAAGGTTAGTACTTTCGTGCAGCCAGTTCAAATTTGTGAGCTCATCGTCTGCTGAATCTCTGTCCACCACAGTGGCCTTTGGCCTGCCGGCATCGCCTGCGTCGGGCAAGCTTCCCATCCCATGACACTGCCGTAGTCCTGCAGCTTTTTCTGCTCCTGGTGTTTCAGCTTTCTTATCCGGAGTCATTCCAGTGACTGGACCCATTTAGCTTTATTGGTCTGCAACAAAGGAGACAGTCAGAAATCAATGCAAACCTTCAAAATCATGTTCAATGGCAGCCCACTAAACCCAAACACAGTGCTGTAGCATCCCCACGCTGTGCAAGATACACTGCAGTCACTGATGAGAGCCAGGGTCCAACATAAGCCCCCCGGGTAATCTCATAAGCACGTGTTAACTACCCCTGGTTTATAACCAGAACTTATGGTAAGCACTTGGAAACTGCTGTATCTATCTTGAAATGCCAATTCGGACACAGAAATAATGGCTATTTTGATGTCAACATCTGAAATCTGAAAAAGACCTTAACAGGTAGGATCTAATCCATTCAGCGCTCACATTAACTCTTTAGTTATACTCTTTATATTGTAAATTGACCCTATTTAGAAGTGTTTGCCTTTGGTGCCCAAAGAGTAAAAAATAAGTTGCAAAACTTAAATCAGTGTAAAGTGAATTTGTGGTCTCAGCGCAAAAGAAGTCTTTACAACCCCCTACAAGTCACAGCCATTCCCAAGTGCTGCCCCTCATTTTCACCAGGGAAAGAACTGGCCAACCCATCAGTTCATCAGCCGGGGCCCGTGGAGCTGCCCAGGTCCAAAAGACCTTCTTTCCCCTCCTGCAAGGGCTTGCTGCTCTAACTCGGGCTTCCCTGCAGAGCAGAGGGTGGTGGCACCAGCTCTCAACGGGAAGGGACCATCTGCTGGGGTGGCAGCTCAGACCTGTTGCAGCAATAATGGCTGACCACTTGCTTTGACCTTTTCCCTAAATGAAAAAATATATATAAAATATAAAATAATATCTATTAAAATCTGCCACACAGAATGCATGGTCTAACAGACTACCCGTGCTTTAGAAGCATTACATTGACAAAAAGCATCTTCTTGCTCATAGAGTTTTAAAAGGGGTCATCTAGCGAACTATCTGATGCTAACGGCTGTTTTTTCTGCTGCTGTGACCATGTTAGAGCTTCACTGCACCTACAGCTTTGGCCAACATAACTGTACCAGAAGTACAGGCCAACAAAACCACTCTGAAGATGTGGTGTGTATATCTACATATATATACACACACACAGGGGCTATACCAGCCTGCTGTAAACATAAGGCACTCTGACTATGGATGCAGTTTACCAGCAAAGCTGAGGTTCATATTAACTGTAAAAAAAACCCAAAAAACCCCAAATAAAAAAAAAAAGAAACCAACCCAGTTCCCTGTCCCAGTACATGTGCTATCACTCTGGTTTCATGCTCCAGCTCCTACTGCAGGAGCTCAATTGCAAGACCAGGACAGTTTCCATATCGTATCTCACCAGACAGCTCTATGCAGTTACTGGGTATTTCCTTACAACCGTTTTTAGTAAACACATGGCTTCGTGCACTTGCATCTTCTCCTACAAAGTGGAGGCAAGGAGCTGGCCAGCTTGCGTACACGGTCTGGCTGTCTGTCCCACCTACAAAACCACACCACTGGCTGGCTCCAACCTGACAGCCTCACCATGTCCAAAGCAATTACATTGCCCAACATGCCTGGAGAGGTATTTGCCCAGCCTCCTTATTTTGGAGGAGGGGAGCAATGTGCACAATGGAGGCGTGACGTGGTGACATAGAAAGGCAACGGGATACATCCATTTTATGCTCCCCAACAGCAGCCAGAGCCCTGCCAGCCCCTGCCTGGCGCTGGGTAGACGCAGGGTGCAGAATTCGTGCCTCCCCCAGAAAATGCACGGCGTTTCCCACCAGCAGTTTCTTCTCGTCTCCTCATCTGCTCACACGCTTTCACACCAGCTATTGCAAAACTGTTTTGGCAGTAAAACCTGCACCTATGCTTACCAGTACTAGCACTGGAAACCATCCCCAAATTTTCTATTTAAGTGCAGGGACCAGCGTGATTAACTACCAGCTCAGTCATTAAAAAAAAATAATTAAAGCAAAGTGAACTGCTCAAATAGCTGGTCAAAAATAGCTTTGCTCTCCCTACAATTTACTTCTTCCCCAAGCCATCAGAGCAGATTTATATTGGCAGTCAGTGACTGCTGGCTTTAAACACAGCAATATATACATATGCTTATGTCATTTTTTCAATCCTTTCTTAAATTAAAAAACAAACAAAGGGCTAGTGATAAAATTCATACAGTGAGACAAACCCCAATTCTGCTGCAACGTGAGTTGCACCGTTTTCCTTATAACGATTAACTTTACCTCCTTGTTCCAGTGCCTCTTTAGCCAGCTACGTACTAGCTTACACCTCTCAGCTGTGTATTAGTAATTTTAGCACTCGGTTCATGTTGCATGAAATATCCCTTTGCAAATCTTCAGTCAGCACAGTAGATCAAGAACATGCACATGCACACACACACATGCAAGTTTTAGGTCACTGTATTTATTCCTTTGGTGAAGTGGGGCAATAAAGTCTGTTTTACAACACAAATACGGCCTGGGCATGCTCACAGCCTTCAAAAATATGGAGGGAAGAAAAACATATTAACTTCTTAAACTGGCACTTAAAATCAGGTAGGCTTTGTGGTGTCAATGCACTACTCGTTTGCATGTTGTTATGTGTTAGCAGAGAATCATTAGAATAATTAATACCCTACTTTAAAAAAAAATCATTTGCAAGCAATATACTTACAGCAAATAATATAGGCTAGTGCCACGTTTCTCATAGTAGATGCATTACAAAAATCCACATCTCATATTACCTTCTTAGTGCCTAGTTCACCACCTCGCACATCTTCTACATGAGCACATCAGCAGAAGTTAATTTTTTTTTTCTAGAAAGCTATAAAAGCCATTATTAGACTATTATCATCTATTAAATAAGAAAAAAAATAAAATCACAGTTCCATAACTGCTGCAGTTTTCAAAGGGTGTTCTGCAGTGGTCTAAATTGAATGCTGCATGAAGGATAATTTAAATATAGAAAAAGCAGAGTATGCAACAGGAAGAGTTATTTTAATGAAGTAACATTTAACTCCATTGTGATGGTAGTAATGAGACCGGTAACATCGATGACCACCAACTGACGATTTTGGCGCTGCCTTTCTGGAGACAGACAGTCTTCCTAGACAGCATCACCTCAGCCCCAACGACGTAACGTGCTTTACACCACGCTAACCTACCCTTGCTTTGTTTGATCTCAGAATATTGTAACCTCCAATTCTGTCCAGTTTACTCTGGCCTGCTGCCGCATCAGTCTGAAGAACAAACCAACATTGGCAGCCTTCCTACTGCAAAGGACTGCAAAGCCATCAAAAGCTCGCCCTTCCTGGAGACAAAGATCAACCACCACAACTCCAAGGGGTACTCCACAGATGGGGTCATTAACGGACATGTTAATGCCTGTCTCACCTCTCAAGCACCCAAGGGCCATGTGGACCACAGGATCTCCTCACCTCTCAAGCACCCAAGGGCCGTGCGGCTCATAGGACCTCCTCGCCTCTCAAGCACCCAAGGACCACGTGGACCATAGGACCGTCTCTATTCAGCTGAGACAGCACTGCTTTCTGCCTGTAGCAGCCTGGTGGGGAGCGACAGCAGTGCCACTGGTGTGTATCTGAAGGCACACAAGTGGTCAGCTTGTGTGCCCTCCAAAGCCCCTCTTCATTCACACAGACCCTTAACGACATTCAAAATTCACAATTTCTTTTCCTCCATGTGTGCTCTGCTTGGCCATAAGCAGGTGAGACTGTGAGAACACAGCTTCCAAGCTGTTGTTTTCAAGATTACCACTTCCAATATTTGGGGTTTAATATTTTATGTAAGGATCATGCGATTCACCAAAGCAGTCTTTGCTGTAAGCTAGCAGGGTTTTGTGGACAGGGATGACCCAGCCGGAGAGCCACAGTAAGAGCAAGGAGAGCAGACTGTGAGAAGAAAAGAGCACAAAGAAGCTCTCCAGTGCAGATGTCATGATAAAACCGTGTATGCTTGGACCCTCAGATTTTTTCCTAATGTTTCTTTCTCACTGTTACTGGCTAGAAGGGTCGATGCAAACAAGGTTAGAGGTAGCCACTAGGACTTGCTCTCCACAGTGCTCCCAGCCAAGCTGAATTAGGAGCACCGACGTGAAACAGAGAGGGAGGGGAGAGGGAAACCTAGCAGAAAGGCAAGGTTAAGAGCGCACATGAGCACTGCAAGGCCACTCAGTGAAATTTATCTTCCACTCCTTTATTCCCTTGCTGCCACCTTCCCCGCCTCTTCAGCTACTGCAGGGGCAGCAAAAGCCTTGCAAGAAAACCACCTCCAAATGACACGCACCTGCTCAGCTGCTGAGACACGCTCCCTGTCCCTCTTCTCCGGCTCTCCCGGAGCCACTTCTTACCGAAGGAGGATGGCAGATGGCAACCATTTAACCGACCTCTCCGGCTGGCACGTTGAATGCCCAGAGACTTGCTGCAATTCCCACGAGGACAGCCCCAGCCCCGCAGGCAGAGCCGGAAGGCAACTCCAGCCGTGCAAATGCAGAAATAACGTGCTTTAAGCGCACCGCTAAAAAATGTGCAACAGTTTACGCTCTGTCCCATGTGCTTTGCCCTACCAATAAGTACACAGTAACACAGCACACTGCTGTTAATTAGTATTAACACTTGCAACTGAAAGACTAAGTATTCAAAGCCTAAGAGCATCACGCATCCAAACCCTAAGGAACTCAAGCACCTATCTCCTGTAAGCACCTTCAAAAGAAAAGCCAACCAAAACATCTACTCCTCAAATACAAAGTACTGCAGCAGAGGTGCGCATTATTGTCGTGGTTTAACCCCAGCTGGCAACTAAGCACCACACAGCCGCTCGCTCACCCTCCCTCCCCGGTGGGATGGGGGGAGAGAATCGGAAG